CATCAGAATCTGGGTAAGACGTCACTCCGCTGGACCCCCCAGAAACCCTCGAAAGTGGCGGCGGCAGTTTCGCAAACTGCAGTCCTCCAGGGATGGCCACGTAGGAGGCAAGCTGGCACGCAGAAGGGAACGAAGTGAGAGGCAGGAGAGAAGAGGCAATCAGGAGGGGGGCGGGGGGAGGAAAAGACGCGCACGCGAAACGAGTACCCAACGCAGGGAGTGGGGAACATTCATTCCGTTCTTTTTTGTGTGTATATATATATATATATCTCTATAAAGAAACGATTTTTTTTAGGGCGAGATGCGACCCAATACGGCCCGAGAGGTTCCAAATATAGTTCCAAGACGAAGGGCCCCAAAACGGTCCAAAGGGCCCCAAGTAGGCCCCAAGAGGACCCCAAACCGGCTCAAAGAGGCTCCCAAGAGGGCCCAAAGAGGTCCCTAAGAGAGCCCCGAAACGGCCAAAGGCCCCCAAGTCGCCCCTAAGACTGCCAAGACGGCACAAGAGGACCCCAAAACGGCCCAATAGGGTCCCGAAAGGGCCGTAAAAGTGCCCCCCAAATAGCTCCAAGAAACCCCAGAGACGCCAAGTTACACTATGTCTCCCAACAGCGAGCGGTGACGTAACAAGCTCTTCACACCAAGGCGCGGTGACGTACAAAGCTCTTAATAACGAGGCTCCCAAGGGCGAGCGGCATCGTAAAAGTCTCTGAGCACCAGAGCTCCCAACAGAGAGCGGTGACGTAACAAGCTTTTAACACTAATTCTCTCAAGAGCGAAGGGTGCCATGATCCATCTCGGGCAAGTTTCTGAAGCGCTCTTTCCGGTCCCGTGCCGGCCCAGGTTTTCGGGTTCTCGCCTTTTCGGGCCAAGAATGGTCCAAAACGACCCAAGCGGCTCCAACGATCGTCCCATGACGGCCCAAGAGGCCCCCCAAAGGGCCCGAAAGCAGTCCAAGAGTGCCCCAAGACGGCCCAAGAGGGCCCCAAGACGGCCCCAAGAGAGCCCCAGGAGAGTCCAAACGGGCTCCCAAGAGGGCCCCAAGAGGCCCCAAGAGGCCCCCAGGCTATGTCATGGCTGTGTCATTCTTCTTCCTCCTCTTCTCCTTCTCCTTCTCCTTCTTCTTCATCTCCTCCTTCTTCATTTCTTTTCTCCTTCTTCTTCTTCTTCTTCGTCTTCTTCCTCCTTCATCAATCCTGAGACCTGTCCCGGGATGCGCTCCGACCGCAGAGTCACGAGGGGATTCCCGGCCGCGGCGATGGGAGGCCCCCCTGGGGGCCCCCCCGGAGGCCAGAGGCTCCGGCGGCAAGTCGTGGGAGCCTCGCGTGCCCTCGTGCCCATCGGTCGCTGAGAGCGCCTTCCTACTTGGATTTTTTACTACTAATCTACTTCCAATCTACTTTCAATCTACTTTAAGCGCCTTCCAATCTACTTCCAATCTACTTTGAGCGAACCCTGGTATTTTTTGGATTCCCAGATTCCATTCTACTTTAAGCGCCTTCCTACTTCAAAGATCGAGTGACTTCACCTTTTCCGTCCTCTTCGGGGGGCGGGCGGACACCCAATCTACTTTCAACGCCTTCCTGCTTCGCGTCGATTAGCGTCTGGGAGTCGATGCGATAGCGCCGATTTAGCGTCGATCAGCGTCGATTTAGCGTCGATTTAGCGTCGATTTAGCGTCGATTCGCAAGAGCCGACAAGATGGTCTGGGAGGCTCCCATGAGTTGCCACCGAAAGAGGAGTTCAAGCATCCTTCCTTCTCGAGTTTCGATCCTCGAATTTTGATGGGGTCTGTCCTTCCTTCTTCCTTCCTTCCCTGTTCCTCCTTCCGTATTCTATCCCCAGCATCATATAAATTATGTTTTTCCATTCCGCGGCCCTAATTTCTGAGAGAGCGTGATCCACCGCCGCTTTACTGTGGAAATCTCCCCCCTCTTCCTCCAGAACCCAGGGGTCCCCCCCCTCCGAAAATCCCCCCCTCCTCGAGCCACCTCCTCCCTTCCCCTGGGAAAGCCCCCTTCCTTCCTAACCCCTCCCCCCCTCCTCCGGAAAACCGGGGGGTTCACTACCGGTTCGAACCCCCCCCCACTCACCGCCGGCAAACGACTCCTGGGTCCCCACCACCGTCCTCACCACCGCCCTCACCCGCTGTCCCCAGTACCACCGTCCCCACCACCATTGTCCCACCGTCCCCACTGTTCCCACCATTGTCCACACTGTCTCCACCAGTGCCCCCACGACGGTCGCACTGTCCCCGCTGTTCCCGCCACTGTTCCCACCACGGTCCCACTCTCCCCACTGTCCCCACCACTGTCCGTCCCACTGTCCCACTGTCCACACTGTCCTCGCCATTGTCCCACTGTCCCCACTGTCCCCGCCGCTGTCCCATTGAGCTTTCCCACTGTTCCCACCACTGTCCCCACCCCACCACTGTCCCCACTGTACCACTCTCCCATCGTCCCACCAACGTCCTCACCGCCGCCCTCACAACTGTCCCCACCGCTACCGTCCCCACCACTGTCCCACTGTCCCCACACCGCCGTCCCCACCACCTGTCCCACTTTCCCCACCACTGTCTCACTGTCCCCACTGTTCCCACCAATGTCTCCACTGTCACCATGCCCCCACCAGTGTCTCACTGTCCGCACTGTCCCCACCACTGTCCCCATCACGGTCCGACTCTCCCCAGTGTCCCCGCTGTCCCCACCACTGTCCCACTGTCCCCACTGTCCCCACCACTGTCCCACTGTCCCCACTGTCCCCACCGGTGTCCCACTATGCTGTCCCACTGTCCCCACTGTCCCCGTCGTTGTCCCACTGTCCCCGCTGTCCCCACCGTTCTCCCCACTGTACCACTGTCCCGTTGTCCCACCACCGTCCTCACCACCGCCTTCATCACTGTCCCCACCACTACCGTCCCCACCACTGTCCCACTGTCCCCATTGTCCCCGCCACTGTCCTACTGTCTCCTCCCCACCACTGTCCCACTGTCCAACTGTCCCCACACCACTGTCCCCACCACCACCGTCCCCACCAGTGTCCCAGTGTGCCCACCACTGTCTCACTGTCCCGAGGAGCGGGAATCGTTTGCTGGCGGCGAGGTGGGGGGGGGGCTCGAACCAGTAGTGACCCCTCTTCCTTTTCATGATGGATTGGAGGGGGGGGAGGGGGGGTTTCGAACCGGTAGTGACCCCCCCGCGGTTTTCGAGGGGGGTGGGTGGGACGGGTTGGGAACCCCCAGTGACCCCCCCGCGGTTTGCCGCCAGCAGCGGTAGACCACGCTCTTTTTGATGTTTCGACCTCTTGCCCCAGGGCAATCTATCGTCCTGGATGCATGACGCTTCGCGCATCTCCTGCAGCCGATTTAGCAACGCTGCCAGGGCGAGCTGCGCTGATCGGGGAAGGGCGGCAGCACGCAGTGGAACAACGAGCGGGGGCAGCCGTCAAGCAGAAGATCGGGGTCTGCCTCGGCAGGCCCATGAGTCGACCATGATGCCCTGGCGGCTCTCTCGGCGGCCTCTTGGCGGCTTGCCTGGGCCATCCTGGGGTTTCTGTTGGGGCCATCTTTGGAGGCCATCGATGCCCTGTTGGGATCCTCTTGGGGTCCCCGGGGGAGCCTCTTGGAGCTATCTTGGATGACATCGATCAAAGAAAGGGGAGGCTTTCATTAGCCTTACCCCCTGGAGTCCATAACATCGCCTCTTGGGGCCCTCTTGAAGCGCTCTTGGGCGCTCTTGGAGCCGTCTTGGGACCATGTTGGGTTCCTGTTTGGGGCTCTATTGGGCCGTTTTGGGTTCTCTAGAAGCATTTCCGAAGTCCATCGGAAGCGAACAGGCGAGAATGCACACATCATTTGTTTGCTTATAGGTTTTAGATGATTTTGGATTTTCGGGGGATGCCCCTGGGAGGTTCCATGGCCACTTGGAGCCGTCTTGGGGCGATCGTGGAGTCTCTATCGTGGGCTATCTTGAACCATTTTGAAGGCCGCCTTGAGCTCTCTGATGCCCTCTTGGAGCCATCTTGGGCCATCTTGGACCCTCCAATGGCCCGCGACCCCCTTCCCCTTCAATTCCCAGGGGAACGTGGTAGGGGCTGGCCCCCACCCTGAAGGACCGTCGTCTCGCTCACTCCCACCCGCCCTCCCAACACATAAGTAGCACCTGAGACTCAGTATCGGCAGAGGCCGCCATCGGGAACCAATGCAAACTCCAGCCAGGTGCGCGACGCCCGCGAGGTGCGCCGCGCGTGCCAGGGCATACCATCATCCCTGCCAGATAACAATGTAAAATGATGGCGGGGCGCCTGCGCATTGTCCAATGTTTTGCCGCAACTTGCGCTTTGCATGATTTTCGACAGGGATGGTGGGCCCACACACGCCACACAAAATGATGGCACACCCGCGCGTTTCCTGTAAAACGAACAATGTAAAGTGATCGCGGGGCGCCCGACTGGTCCAGACAGTGGCCCGAAGTGCATTGTGTATGTTTTTTTGGACAGGGATGGTGGGAGGGTGGGTGTTGACATTGTCCATGGTTCGTCGCGAGCTGGGCTTGGGAAGGAGTTTATCAATAAGGAGCAGAAGAGCGCCCTAGAACACCTGCGCACTAAAGGGCTGGTGGGATTCATTTTTAATGGTCCCGTAGCCTGCGACGAGCCCCCGGGGGCCGAAACTGAGGGGAGACGCTGTGATTGAAGGAAACGGCCCACGGGATGTCTGGGCTCCCTCTTTCCTCCTTCCTCGGGGTGCAAGAGCCGGGGGTCAATGCAAACGGGGGTCAGTCAGAGCGCCGGATCTTGCAGGATCCTGCAGGGCCAGGGCTGCGTTGACCCCGGTTGGGGTGCAGGATCCTGCAGGATCTTGCAGGATCCTGCAAGGCCTGAGGGGCGCGGGTCTGGATTGACCCGGGTCAGAAGATCCCTGGCTTCCTTCCTCCTCCTTCCCTCGGGGTGCGTTCAAAGGCGCCCCAAGAGGCCCCCGGGCGGTCTCCGCAGGTCTTCGGATGCGCTCGGAGGCCGTCGGGGCGCGTTCGGATGCCCTCGGGGTGAGCTCGGCCTCCACCCCCAACTCCACGGGCGCCCGGGGTCCAGGCCGAGAGGCTCGAGGAGCGCGCCAAGAAACTGCAGGAGCACTTCGAGCAGGCTCCTCCCTGGCCCTCCCCCCCTTTGGCAAGGGTGGGGTGGGCGGGCGCTCCTCCGGCAGGAGGGAGGGAGGGAGGGAGGGAGGGAGGGAGGGAGGGAGGAGGAGGAGGAGACGGAGACGGAGGCGGAGGCGGAGGCGGAGGCGGAGGCGGCGGAGGAGGAGGAGGAGGAGGAGGAGGAGGAGGAGGAGGAGGAGGACGAGGAGGAGGAGGAGGAGGAGGAGGTGTTTCAATAAGGCCCCCCATGCTACTGTGCAGCTGCCGGCGTTCTACTCAAGAACTATAGCCGCCGTCAGGTGGTCCATGCACTGGTATCAGCGCCGGCCGTCTATTGTAAAGCAGTGATCGATCTTCGTCAAGACCGCTCTGTAAACTTTGCATGGTAGCGGAACGAGGTTAAGGCGAAGAGAGCAGGTGATTGCAGCGATACTTACATAATGACAATAATGGGTTGAACACAAAACTGCCTTACCGTGTATAATGAAGGTGACAAGGAGTTTGTTAAGGCAGGCCTGCAAGCTAACCATGACGAGATGACGAATTACCTTGGATAACAAGAGCGCGCGGGAAGCCAAGACTTGCCCAGCACACGCTATGTAATTAATGAGACTGTTCGCAACATCTAACGCAGCATTAATGAGCGTCAACAATCGCGAAAATGATCACGAAGCGGATGCCACGCACGTGAAGATGCGAATGACCGAATTTGAAATATGCATAGAAGAGCCATGCCAATGTGGTCCTCGCCTAGTTAGCTGAATCGGCCCGTGAGCGAATCAAAGGCAATCCAATCGCTGAGTAGCTTCAACCGAAATCGGACGAAGTTCCGTGAATTGAGTGGTGGGCTATTCAACGTACTGATAAGTCAGTGATGGGAACCGCAACGGTCGCATCTTATTGAACTCAAAGTAAGAAACGATGAGGCTGTGCCAGACCCGAGCGAGGAATACGTTGTGCTAAGAATGCGCACTGGGAGACTGACAGCAGCAGAGTACAACAAAACAGCTCCATATGAGAAGAGCGAAGAAGACAACCGCGGAGACGAATACGTTTTGGACGGTGTGAAATCCACAAAGGTGGATGAGGATGTACCGTGCGAGTGTTGGGGCGCGAGGCAAGGTGCGCGGCCTCAAAGACGGTGAAGGACTGATCGCTTGCATGAAACACTATGAGGGGTAATCCGCAGTACCAGAGGTGACATGTTCGGCCAAGATGATTCTGCCATGAAACCCTGCAGGCCTAAGGAGATAAGTGACACATCTGTCCAGCTCGATCAGTGGAGTGTACTGGAAGAGAAGCAATCTCGAGAAGTACGGTCAGTCATAAGAGCTGCCCTTGCCATTCAAGAAATCGGCTCTAAAGGTCATAATGGTACACGCCGGGGAGTGGTTCTACGACTGGCAACAATGTTGTTCTAAGTCTACTGGCAACACTATTGTTAACGTGTCAGAACTTTCATTTGAGATTCGAGGACTGGGCTCGAGAAGACACGCAACGACCAGATGATGTCACCAAGAACCGCGATGCGATGGACGTCGGAGGAGTGGACAAGGAAAAAGAGCGCTTTGAACAAGCAGCCTACCAAGGAAGTTACCGCTGACAATGTGACGAAGAGGGCAGCTGCTGGCCCCTGGGCGAAGATGATAACGGAGGCTGGAATGACGACCGAGGCTAGGGTGAATGAGACATGGGTGCAGTCAATAAGGGTAGAGCTCAAGGGACGGGCATATGCTACAAGTGTTGCAAAATTGGCCACATGACCAGGGGCTGCAGAGTCAAAGGCGACGGCAGGAACAGTGGCGAAGGGGAAAGGATGCCCAGGCTGGCAAAAATGCTACGACAATGGTAACTACGGCAGCTCCAAGGGAAGCGGGTAGGCAATCAGGACAACATGGGTGTACACGAGACGGTAAGGGCTACGTGCCTATGAGTGAGCGCGAATGTTATAAGTGCGGACAGAAGGGTCATATTGCAGCCGACTGCACCAAGGGAGTCGACGAAGTTGGACAGGCCAGCAATGAGCAAGGAACATATCATAACTTTGGGCAGCCCCGACCTGAGATGGACCCATGATGCTATGTCATTACTTGGGAGTACTCGGATCCACCTGAAGCCCTCTTGGAAACGCCAGCCAGTGAAAAAAACAAGCGACTCAACTGGCAAAATATGTTGTGCCAGAAATATGGCCATTGAGAGGCCTTTGGGTGTGAAGACAGTGAACGTGCCTATGACCTTTAACTGATGGAGGTACCTCACAAAGCTCAGGAAATGAACGCGGTCCCGAAGAACAGTCCAGAATCTAATGTAGAGATCTTGTTGGTCGCAGTTGATTCGGGAGCTTATGGCGCAGCTGGCAATTGGATGGCGGGGCACTCTTCCCAGTGAATCCGGCGGGGGCTTCGAACAACACTCGACGTTGCAGCGCGGCCAAGGGGGCCGCGATAAAGAACCATGGGCAGCGGGCTATTGCAGGGCAGCGCAGCAAGCGACGAGGTAAATGTGCCTATGCAAGTCGCCGTCGCCAATGAAGTATTGGGATCTGCGCGAGAACTGATCTGGTAACGCGCTAGTCCTGGATCGTGGTGCTCGCGGCAGATCGGTCGACCCGGCCGCGTGGGCCCGCCCGCCCGACCTGCCTGGCGGGGTCCGTACGCCCGACCTGCCCTTCTGGTTCTACTGCTGGTACGCCTGCTCCTGACCCTCTTCCTGCAAAACTCTCGCGTGCTCCATCCTTCCCTCTCCCCTCTTGTCTCTTCCCTTCTCCCTTCCTTTCCTTGTTCTGGGGGCTGCGCCCACTGCGCGCGGCAGGTCGGTAGGAGAGACCCCTTAATGACGGTACTATCGAAGACGAAGAGTGCGGATGCTGAGGGTTCTGGATATACGTGTTGAATGGCACGCGAACAGGTGAGATCGAACAGTCATCAAATGACTGTTGCTGTTGTCGTTGTTGTTGTCGTTGTTGTTGTTGTTGCTGCGGCTACTGCTGCTATTGTTTTTGTTTTCGGTGTTGTGTTTGTTGTTTATGTTTGATGCTGTTGCTGTTGTCGTTGTTGTCGTTGTTGTCGTTGTTAGTCGTCGTCGTCGTCGTCGTCGTCGTCGTCGTCGTCGTCGTCGTCGTGGTGGTGGTGGTGGTGGTGGTTGTGGTTGTTGTTGTTGTTGTTGTTGTTGTTGTTGTTGTTGTTGTTGTTGTTGTTGTTGAAGATTATTACTTCTAAAGAATAATTATTGTTGGGACCCCTGGTGCGCGACCCCCCCGCCGCGCCTAGGCCGCAGCCTCATTTTCATCATTTTCGTGAGGAAGTCTCAGGCAAAACGGGTTGGTCCGGATCCGGTTGTGTTGTTACGATCGGTTTTCCCTTGCAAAAAATAAGCTAAAGTGGACATTTCTTGTTCTAACATAACCAAACTTCAAGAATCCCTTGCAAACAATAAGGTAAAGTGGACATTCGCGCGCGCAAGACGAAATCCTTCCAAAACCTTAGTTTTCGTAGCGATTTTAACATAAAAACATCAAAAAACCAATGTTTTTTCAAAAAAAAATGTCAAACTTTCATCCCGCGCGCTCTTGCGGATTCGTAGGAAACCCAACACTTTTTAATCATTTCTGTCAAACGGGCTTTTGCGAGCAACTTTTTCGAACTTCTGCAACAACGGTTGCGCACCTGCCAGGGCCATCATCCCTGTCAAATAATACCATGCGGGACACATTCGTTTTTTCTTCGCGCGCGCACGCCGTCGTCGTCGGCCGCGGGGCCCTGAATAGTAGCCACGGTCGTCCGCATGCCACGAAGTGAAGTGTCCGAACGTCATAGGGCGGGAAGCTGGGTGTGGGTGGTGGCGAAGAGTCGTTTGGAAATTTGGTAGAGCTTGAACCGGCCCCCCCACAAAGTGGGGGTATTGCCCGCCTCCTATGAAAACCCTGGCACTGGTGAGAACGGTGTGTCCCCACGTGCTAGTAATTGTTGTTGTTGTTGTTGTTGTTGTTGTTGTTGTTGTTGTTGTTGTTGTTGTTGTTGTTGTTGTTGTTGTTGTTGTTGTTGTTGTTGTTAAGGTTATTGTTGCTGCTGTTGTTGCGTATTCACTTCTCGAGAATATTTACTGTTCATCTCCGGAAGCGGTTTCGCGCGCTCTCGTTTCGACGCTGGCTACATTATCCCTGAAAACGAGGCTCCCGCTCCAGCGTTGGCTTGAGTGTAAATGTGGGTTCTTGGAGGACCCGCTACGACGACAACGGCTCCCGCTCGATACTTCCTCACAATTTACCCCGAGACACCCTGGCCAAAAAAGAGGCCCCCGAACTCAGGAACGGCGCTCTCGCTCGAGACTCCCTCGCAATTCAATCAAGTTGGCGGAGGCCTAGCCATGACAAGGGCTCCTGCTCGATACTTCCACGCGATTTACTCCGAGAGCCCCTATCCAGGAAGTCCCCAAAACTCAAGAACGGCGCTCTCGCTCGAGACTCGATTCAGTCAAACTGGTGGAGGCCCAACTACGACGACAAGGGCTTTCGTTCGATACTTCCTCAACATGTATTCGCAAAGGCCCTTGCCAGAGAGGCCCCCGAACTCAAGAGTGGCGCTCTCGCTCGAGACTTTCTAATTCAGGCAAGTTGGTGGAGGCCCAAAAACGGCGACAAGTGTTTCCGTTCGATAATTCTTTCATCTGTATTCCGAGAGCCCCTGGCCAGAGAGGCCCCCGAATTCAGGAACGGCGCGCTCGCTGGAGAGTTCCTCGCACTTCAACCAGTGGCCGACAAGGAAGATATTCCCCTCGAAAAGGGGTGCAATCGAAGACGAAGTGGGCGGGTATCGAGGTTGGGATACACAGAATACAAGACACGCGTGCCAGTAAGAGCGAGCACTCTTAATATTATTATTTTTATTATTATTGTTGTTGTTGTTGTTGTCGCTGTTGCTGCTGTTGCTGTTGCTGCTGCTGCTGTTGTTGTTGTTGTCGTTGTTGTTATTGTTGTTGTTGTTGTTGTTGTTGTCGTCGTCGTCG